TATTTAGAGAGACTGATCCCTGTCCACAACCGAGTCAGTTGAGCAGCAAAGTACTGGAGCCATGTCTAGTGTTAGCAGGGTGGAACTACTTTCACGGCTCAGAACTGCCATATATCTTAGTTATACTACTCCTGACATTCATTCCGATCGGTAAACATATTTCATTGTATTATTTGTACAATTATTCTGTATATTCTACCCTATTATGAGCCGTTTTGACAAAAAATATTTAATTTGTTTAAAATGTGAAAAGTTGTCGCACTCTTGGGATACGGAGTCATAAAACTGCAGAATAGAAGGCGAAGGAAATTGAAGGCAAAGCAAGAGATGACAAACAGCAAGAATTACGACAAATTATGTAAATTTAAATTATTATCATTATATTTATGTGATAGTTGTGTAACAGTTATGGAAATTTTATAAATGTTTAATTGAATAGATGTGAGGGAATGGTTGCATCAAAACCACAAACGCTATGTTAAGGTGAAAATAGGTCCCGAAGAGTCGATCTCAACAATCAATAGAAAGGGAGAGATTTTAAGACATATCAACTTCAAAGACGCCAACTCTCTGATGGTTGAAGTGACACAAGACTCTCACAAACCGATGGTTTTGATCCGATCGCCTCGCGATCACGATTTGGTGCTCCAGTTTGATAACATCGGATCACGAAAGAAGTTTTTGGCAAAATTGGAGGCATTTCTGTTGAACTACAAGAAGACACTGGAAATAATCCACACCTATAAGGATGTAATGCTGGCCAACGCCGAGACTAAAGAGAAGCGACAAAAACGTTTGGAGCACTTCTTCCGAGAGGCCTATGCGTTGACTTTCGGTCTGAAACCGGGAGAGAAACGCAAACTGGAAGACGTGAGTAATGATGTAATTATGGTTATGAGGACTTCGCTGTCCAAGAAGGAGTTCGCCGAAGCGCTGGGAATGAAACCGGACTCACTGTTTGTCAAACAAATGTTCAATTGTGTCGACAAAGACAAAGACGGAAGAATCAGTTTCCAAGAGTTTTTGGATACTGTGGTCTTGTTTTCGAGGGGAAAGACTGAGGATAAGCTAAGGATTATATTTGATATGTGCGACAACGATGGCAATGGAGTGATCGATAAGCTAGAACTGACCAAAATGTTGAGATCACTCGTGGATATCGCCAAAACTGATTCGATGGCCGAGGAGGAGGTGATGGAACTGATTGAGGGTATGTTTGCGGCCACCGGTCTCGACAATAAGGAAGAGCTCACTTACGATGACTTCAAGCTAATGATGAGAGAATACAGGGGAGACTTCATAGCCATTGGACTCGACTGTAAGGGCGCTAAACAAAACTTTTTGGACACCTCGACAAACATCGCGCGAATGACCAGTTTTCAGATCAACCAATTGCCTGACACTGAACCTAATTACTTGATTCGCAAATGGAATTTCTGGATCACTTATCTTGAGGAATATCGGCAACACATTGTCTACTTATTGATATTCTTTGTCATAACCACTGTCTTATTCTTTGAACGGTTTGTCAGTTATACTTATTTGAGTGAACACATGGATCTGCGACATGTCATGGGTTATGGCATAGCTGTCACCCGTGGATCAGCCGCTTCTCTATCATTCTGCTATTCATTATTGTTGTTAACGATGTGTCGGAATTTGATCACAAAGATCAGGGAAATCCCATTACATCAGTACATACCACTCGACTCTCACGTGCAGTTCCACAAAATCGTTGCCATGACTGCCCTGGTCTTCACGAGTATGTCACCGATTCCTCAATGTTTAACTTTAAGTGCCAATATTTAATGAGTTATTTCTAATGGTTTAGTCATTCATACGGTGGGGCATTGTATCAACTTTTATCACGTGTCCACTCAACCCATTGAACACTTGCGGTGTTTGACGAAAGAACTGAACTTCGAGTCCGACTCGAAGCCCACGTTCTCCTTCTGGATCTTCGGGACAGTGACCGGTCTGTCAGGGATTGTCCTCTTTGTCATCGTTTGTGTCATCTTTATCTTCGCTCACCCGAAGATCAGACAAAAAGCTTACAGTTATTTCTGGATAACCCATAGTCTCTATTACTGGCTCTTTATATTCAGTTTAATCCATGGATTGGCAAAACTCACCGGAGTATGACTTGATTGCTTGGATTCACTTAACAGTTACCTAATAATTATATCTCTCTCTTGTTACAGACGCCCAGGTTTTGGATATTCTTTATAATACCTGCCATTATATTCGCTTTCGACAAAATAGTTAGCCTTCAAGCAAAGTATATGGAACTGGATGTCCTCGACTCTGAGCTTTTGCCTTCCGGTTTGTGCATTGAATACAAATACGTTTTTTTCTATAGCTTTACAATTAAATTAATTAAAATATTTTCCTTTCAAAAGATGTAACAAAAGTTAAGTTTTCTCGTCCGCCGAGCTTTAAATACCTGTCCGGACAGTGGATACGGTTGTGTTGTACGGCCTTTAAATCGAGTGAATTTCATTCGTTGACTTTAACGTCAGCCCCGCACGAGAACTACCTGTCGGTGCACGTGAAGGCACAGGGACCCTGGACGTGGAAACTCAGAAATTATTTCGATCCAAATAACTTCGA